AAAATGGGTGAGAAAGACTTGCAGCCGTATGTTACAGTAAGAAATCCTCTCCCTCTCCTTTTGCTCTCCTGGCCCCAGGGATTCATCCCAGGCAGGTGCTGCTTTGATTGCAGCAGGTTTTGAATCCTCTTCCCTCTCCTCGTGGGGATGCCACATGCTGTCTTCTGACCTCGTTAGCTTCTCCTCCTGTTCCATTTCCCCACTCCGCACTCCCAGCCCCACCCATGTGCTAATTACTACAAAGCAATCTGCAGGAAGCGCTGCTCTGAGCGGGCTGAGGGAGCGGGAGGTAGAGAAGGATGCTGTCAGAGCACTGTGGGGGATGGAGAGAATGGGGTCAGATCAGTTCAAGCAATGCTGATATTTAGGCAGGCCCCAGGTTCTTCCCCTGTGTGTGCTGGTGCCAAGAACAGCCTGAAAGATGAGGGGGACATGTGGGTTCAGAGCTGTGCTGCCTGCCCCTGCGCTCTGCTAATGCAGGATCCCATCACCATGGAGGCTCACATGGTCCTAGGACCTTGTGTGCCTCAGCTGCCTCCAGGGCCCCAGCTGTGCTGTGCAGAAATGTTGTGAATCTCCAAGTCTGATCTTCACCGATTCTGCACCATCACCCAGTTCTGTGTTCTTCTGGGACTCATTCACACAGGCAAACGAGGCAGGTTTACATAGTCCTCGTACACGATCCCTTTGTCCATTCTCAAAGCAGGGTGGACACAAGCAGCTCTGCGTGGGAGCTGTGGAGCACTGTCAGTGCCCTGCTGCCCTCAAGGCCATGCTGCGATGGGAAGGCAGGGTGCTCACTCTGAGACTTCATTCCTTGCAAATGTAGCTCAAGGGCAGACAGTCTGCAGCTGGTCTCTGCTTTGTCTGCTCCAACAGCCAGAGCTGACAAGTGCTCGGCATACGGGCAGAGGCCCCCACTTAGGTCCCCTCTGCCAGCACTGGCTGAAACTGAGGAACCTGGAATGGGGTTAGAGCTTGTGTTCATTTTCTCTGGATGGAATGACAAGACTTTCTTCTTCCTCTTTGATCAGTGAGATACGGTGTTTGGGGTTGGAGAGAGGTCAGAGAGAGGAAAGATAATAATTAAGGTAAAAAAGCAGACAATAGTCAAGGAAAGAGCCAGACCCTACTGTTCCTCACATTGCTGTAAAACTAAAGCCATCCCAGGAGGGTTGCTGGAACCATATTTATATTGAACTGATGTGAGTGAAATTGTTAGCCTCACTAAACTAAAAACAAGAGAAGGGAGAAAAAAGCCAGTGTATCTAAGCATGGCTGATGGGTGAATTCAGGGAGAGGGATGTTATGGTGACCGTCAGCAAAAGCATCCTTACTCTACAGTCTCTTTGGCGACAAGGGAAGCAATAAGGTGCCACCTTACCCAAACGCAAGGCCATGCTGACATTGAGATGGTGCCCCTGGGGTCTGACCACATTCCTGCATTGATTTGTATGATCACAGCTGATGCTCTTCTGTTCTTCCTAACTTCAGGTATCATCAGGATCCAGATTATGAGCAAAGCATCGAGTGCCAGAAGAGAAACCATGGGATTCAGATGGGGGCTCATGTCTTCCTGGCACTCCCTGGGTTTAATACTTGCATTACTTTTTGACTGCAGAATCTCCTAGGCTAATCCAACCTCCCCTACAGTTCCTCTCTGAAGTCATCTGATGCTGCGTTTTGATACAGAGACTCACCAAGCCTGGGGGCCTGTGTTTGCCCTTCAGGAGTGAAATATCTTGTGGTAGCATTTGAAGAAACTGCCCTTTCTCTCTGCTGTTGTTCAGTAAGAGGATCTTTGTCTTTCAAAAGCTTCCTTTGTTCTCTTTCTCCCCTCTTTACTTCTACTGAATATTTGGTTAATGCTCCCCTTCTGCCTGCTACCAACCTCTACCCCTCTTAGACATTTTTGCACATCACCTGTTATTTGAAAAGCAGACATTGCTCTATCTGCTTGCAGGTAATCACATTCACTTCTCACCTCTTTTGGATCTTGTTTTCTTTTCTGTTCATTTTGTATTCTCTTCTGTAACTTCAGGATTGTGGGCCACATTCAAAGGTGACAGAAACCAAGTGTGATTCACTGGCTTACAGTTGCTGGAAACGTGGCACTGTGTGCTTATTCTCAGGCTTTACTTTTCTTGCATCATTTATATTCTGCAAAATAGCCTATCACTTGTGTCGGCCTCCTTGCATGGGATCTAAGCCTAAGACTACTAGCAACAATTCACAGTAGAGGCTTAAAAGGGCTGAAGTGGTTGTTGCAGCCTTGACTCTTCTTGCTCCCCCGACAGCCAAGCAGCTTCCCCTTCTCCTAGAGATCCCTGCTCAGAGGTCTCTGAGGACAGCTGACTCTCTTCAGCATGGTATTGTGCATCTGATTTTAGTAACGGCAAAACAATGGTAAAAAATGACAAAAACAACTAAGAAAATGCTAAGGGTGTGGTGTGGAATTTTAGAGCCAAGGTAATTTTCTCTCAGAAAGCACTCAGAAAGGCTAAATGTCATATGGGAGCTTCTGTTACTAATCCATCATCCATGGGATAAAGTTCCCCTAACCTCCATGGGCTGCACTACCTGGGTAGAGTAGGTGACCAAACTATGTACCACATCACTCTGGTGGCAGATCATCAAAAAGAAAAGCCTATTTGGGTAGCTAAAAACATTCCCATGCACTTCCAGGATGGGGGACATTATTGCTGTGACTTTGGATCCGTCAGCACTCTGAACAGTGTCGTCTTCATCTCAGGGCATTCTCTGGCAGCTCAGCATTTCTGGGAGGCTTCAAACCAAGCTGCCAAGCCCAGTGCCCCCATTCTGGACATTCCCACCCCAGGGAGCTGAGATGCTGGCAGCCAGAGCTCAGCCAGCACCAAGCAGCAGAGCTCTGTGGGTGTTGTGGCCTCCACGCTCAGACAGCTGCCATGCGTCAGGCAGCGCTGGCAGGCGCGTGCTGATGGCACTGATAGCTCCCCATGTCCCCGCTGCGGGCGAACCTGTCCATGCTCATGCTGGCATGCAGCTAGCCTGGCAGCGTGGCTACTTCACCTTTGGGCTGACCCTTGCAAAAGGGTTCACACTAAGTACAGAAATACTCATTGGCCTCTCTTCCACACTGGCCAAGACAGAAATCCTATGATGTGCATGGATTTTCTGTTCCTTGGGCAGGCCCTGGGCATGCTGACTTGCTGTGTAGTGACTGTGTGCTGACAATGCCTTCTATTTTTTTATGTGCACGCAGCTGCTTTTAAATACTTTTATTATTATTATTATTTTCTTGCTTTCTACTTTTCTTTTTAAATATCCACATCTACCAGCACTCTTGTTTCAGGGCATGAATAAATACCTCCAAGGCTTCTCTGTGTGATGGTGATGGAAACGGGCACTGCTACTCCCAAAGTGGAGCCTGTCCCAGCCTTTTGGCACTGCCACCTGTGTGCAAGATGGAAAATAAGTGACAACTTCTGTTGCTGGAAATCTAGAAGGTCGCAATACTTTTTTTTTTTTTTTTTCCCTTTCTCCTGCAAAATTTCCTTGGACTTCTCTGCCAAAGACCTGGAATTCCAAAATCCCTGAATGAGAAATTCACAGCAGATCCCTTTATAAATGGACTATGGGTTTCAGTTGAAAGCAAGAGTCTGAACCATGTTACTGAAGGGAAAACAATGGGAGCTAAAATGTGCAGAATTCATGCTAAGATTTTAAAAAGCACCTAAAAGATGTAAGAGGCATAATTGATATATGTCACTGCACAGACTCTCGGACTCAGATATTTCAGCACACTGAGGTGAGTAATTCCCAGCTGGCAACGCAGGACTCAGTGGGACTGGAGTCACAGGACAGCTGTCATGTCAAACACTCGTGTTCTCTGCCGTCAGATCCATACTAGCACTTTTCTACCAGTGGAAGAGATACAGCAGTGATGAAAGTAGGCCTTGAGAATCTGGGGGAAAGCATCTCTAGAGTCAGAGCTAGAGCCTTGGTGGTAGCAAGGAGCACCTGGGGGAAGGATTTGGCAGTAAGCAATTGATTACCTGGAAATCTCTTGCCACTTCTCCGTTTGCATTGAGGCTCAGTGCCAGATGGTAGAATTAAGTGTCTGCTCTCCCCTTGGACTGTGTTTCTTGCAGTTTGGCTTCCAGACAAGTTAAACTGTTCTCCTTTTTGTGATACATTAGCTACTTCAAGATTTAAAACTTTAAAGGCTTTCACTTCATGAACACTGATGTAGAAGCCAATTCAACCACCAACGTGTCTCTGGAGAATCTGTGGCTCTGTAACGTCTCCATGTTAATCACAGGAAGTGTCACTGCCTTCGTGAGTTGGAGCAGGACACAGTCTCTGGTGCTGTGCAGACATTCATGTGCAAGGCTGTGTTGTCCTGAAGTGCAAAAGCCCAGCAGGGCCCAGGGTCCCAATGCAAAAATGAGGTGCTTGGAGCTGTAAGGCAGATGTGGCCACAGGGCATGGAGGAGCTGGGTGTCAGCACCTTCAGCATCCTCCCTTCCTGGTGCTTTGGCTTCCTGGGCAAGTTTGGAGAAGGCACTGAAGGTGACCTCAAAGAAAGCCATAGGGAAGAAAGCTAGAGGCATCAGCAACGGCTGTGCCCTGTCTGTTGGGATCTGCTTTCAAGCCAGGGCTCTCACACATGTCCCCAGCCTGAGCCACTGCACAGCTGTGTCACAGCCATGCCCACACCTGGCTGCAGACCCCAACGAGCCAAACCCCAACCTGAAGACAGACTTCATGACTTGACCTCAGGCCTGCCTCAGCACCCTGGGCTTGCCTGATGGCCTGGACTCTGGGCTGACCCCAGCCACCAGCTGCCTGTTTGCCCTGCCTGGGCTAACACTGATGGGTGGCCACATTGTCCCACTGAGTGTGCCACTGCCCCTTGGTAACTGGACGGGGCTAATTTCCTGGCTGCACAGTGCTCGGAGCCAGAGCTGAGCTCCTCTGCATTTTGCCCCACCTATTGCTGGGAAGTCTTAAAAAAAATGTTGCTTTCACTTTCTGTTCCAGCTTTCTGTTTAGTCCTCTGCATCCCGTGTCCATGGACGTGGAAATCTATCGCTTCAAGAAATGGACAAATTACATATTTTGGTACCAGAATCGCTGTTTTGAAATCAGGGGCCTGTGGCTTCACTATTACTGGTAAGTTACTGTCTGGAAGTCAAGAGATTAGCACGGGGTTTTGTGGTTGGAGGCAGCCAGACAAGAACAGGTTTTTAAAAAGGATCCTTTTTGTCACATATGCTCTGCCACTGTGGAGAGGAAGGAACTGGGAGTGCACGGCTCCCATTAAGGCCTCCCCAGCCCAGCGGTGGGCCGGGACAGCCTCAGACAGAGAGCCGGGCTGGGCCAGAGGGCAGAGCTGGGGGGGGCCTTCTGCACTGCAAGGAAGGCAGAGAGCCCCGGGACATCAAGGCTGCAGAGCAGCACAAAATGCAATAACAGTATCGTGTCTAGTTCTGGCCTCCCCAGTACAAGGACTGTGCCTGTTTACCCTCAAAAAAAAGAAGACTGAGGGGAGAGCTCATCAGTGTGTATGAATATCTGAGGGGAGGGTGTCAAGAGCATGGAGCCGGTCTCCTTTCAGTTCTGCCCAGCGACAGGACGAGAGGCAAAGGGCATAAACTACAGCCCAGGAAGTTCTGGCTCAATATGAGGGGGCATTTCTTTACTGGGAGGGTGACAGAGCACTGGGACAGGTTGCCCAGAGAGGTTGTGGAGTATTCTCTGGAGATAATCAAAACCCGCCTGGATGCCATCCTGCGCAAGGTGCTCGAGGTGATCCTGCTCAGCAGGGGGGTTGGACCAGATGATCTTCAGAGGTCACTTTCAACCTCAACTGTTCTGTGATTCTCTAAAAATCCAACCCAGACATCCCCCGGCACTGTCTGCGAAGGCGGTACCAGCTTTGCTTTCCAGGGTTTTCTCACTCTCCTTTTCTTTGTGCTGCAGGGACACGGATGACGTTGGCAATGTCATACGTGGCAGCATGAATCTCAAGAATGCCACAGCATGGAGGGTCAATGAGAAAAAGCTGCATTTGTCTAACCATAGTTTAATATACTACCTCAAGTCAGACAGTAAGAAGGACATGGATATCTTTGTCAGGAAGCTTAAGGAATTAAATGTCGTCATCACTGACAGCTAGTGGAGAAGCATCTTGTGCCTAACAATGTGTTAATTTTTTTTCATTGTGAAAAAATAATTTCATTAGAAGGACTATATCAATTGCCAGTGACTGCTCAAACTGTGGAAATATCAAAGTATTTTAAATTGTCTGTTGTTGCACTGTTAAAAGAAAATATTACCCATCTTGTGCTGCTTGTTTGCAAGATAGCAATGAAACGTCACAACGTGTGTTGGAACATTTAGGAGCTTGGAACATTTAGGAACTGAACTACAAGAAAATGTTTTCAGCTTTGAAAATGTAATATTTGCAGCTGAAGATGCCAACATTGCCTTTGGAGAAACTCTGTGTATAGTATACTATTATTTGAAAGCAGGACTGAACACACACACTGTATAAGCAATGCAAATACTATTTGAGTTTGAATGTTTTCAGTGTTTTGCAATGTCTTTTTTTTTTTTTTTTTTTTTTTTTTTTGAGAGCGAGAGAGGTGGTGGTCCTGTATGGAGTCAGGAGCTAGACTTAATAATCTGTGTGGGTCCCTTCCAACTCAGGATATTGTAGGATTCTAGGGTCTTTTTTTTGTCATCTTCTTTCTTCATTTAGCAAACTTTTCAGACTCCCAGGATTTACTTTCATAGATGTACATTTTTACAGATTTACATTTAATTTTACAGATTCATTTTTTCAAACTTTAAAATGTGGAAGTGGCCACTGGACATACTTTTTTTTTTTAGACTGATGGTGAAAGGATGTTAACAGGGTTTCTCCTTATTAGATAGTATTGCTTCATGTGCATTGAGGCTTGCTGTTGTGGTTTAACTCCGCCAGCAGCTAAACACCACACAGCCATTCGCTCACCCTCCCCACTCCCTCTCTGGGATGAGGGAGAGAAATGGGAAAGTGAAAGTGAAGGCTGTGAGTTGAGATAAAAACAGTTTATTAAGACAGGAAAGTAACAGTAACAATAGTAACAATAACAATAATGATGATAATAGTACTACTACTAATAATGTGTACGAAACAAGTGATGCACAATGCAATTGCTCACCACCTGCTGACCGATGCCCAGCCTAATCCCGAGCAGCCGGCCCCCCCACCCTGGCTAGCCACCCCTATATATTGTTTAGCATGCCGTCAGATGGTATGGAATACCCCTTTGGCTAGTTTGGGTCACCTGTCCTGGGTCTGTCCCCTCCCAGCTCTTGCTGCACCCCCAGCCTGCCTGTTGGCAGGACAGAGTGAGCAGCTGAAATGTCCTCGGCTTGGTGTAAGCACTGCTCTGCAACAATTAAAATATCGGGGTGTTATCAGCACTCTTCTCATCCTAATTCAAAACACAGCATTCCACCAGCTACTAGGAAGAAAATTAACTCTGTCCTAACTGAAACCAGGACACTTGCCCAGTCATTATTTTGCTTTTTACATAGGATGATGGAATTATGTTTTCAGGGAGCAACGTATTTTTCATGTGTATGATCCAATTCAAACTCCTGGTCTTTCCATTTCTTTTTTTTTTTTTTCAGGGAATTTCTTATGTCTGTTCTTATCTCACACGGGCTCTGGAATTAACAGTCCCTTGGAAGGGGTGCAGACATGCTCAGTGGGGGTTCAGATAACACTAAGAGTCTAATCAGACCTGAACCCACCTGTACTGCAGAGTTTTATGAATTAGCTGAAAAATAAAAGTGTAAGATGTGTAAGAAAATTGTAAATAAGAAACATTTAAATGAATACATAATTGTCTGGCATAACTAGATTGCATGCAATGGAAATATGCAATTGAATGAAAATCATATACTGTATTAGGGATTTTTGCCCTTCCCCAATAGCTGATGGAGTAAAGAAGTAACTTCCCCTTCTGATTGTCACATATTTCCAACGGATGCTGAAAGATACGCTGATTTTTTTTTGAGTAAATATTTTACTTCTGATACATTCCTAACCCAGGCAAGAATTATCACTCTTACAGAGCTCATGACTTATTTACAAATGCCAGCTCTGGTTCAGGCATGGCATGTTCCATGCAAAAACTCTAACTATTTCAGCAGAATTTGTGTGCACAAGCCAGGTGACTGGCAGAGTAGGTCCCTGCTGAACACCTGTGGAGACCTCTGTCGAAGCAGCAATATGCTACTAACAAAACTGCTCGTGCCCCTTAAAGGTCTTTGTAGATGTCAAAGCATGCTGTTAGTGGACCAAAATATTTACTGTGGGACCAGAAGCAATGATACTAATGGCAAAACTGTGTACCCCAAGAGAAGGCTGTGCTGACCAGCTCACAGTGCTCAGTGACTCATTAAATACTTCTAGCTTTTCCAGAGAACCTTGGTCCTCTCCCATTCGCCCCCAGTCTCTCTGGTGCTGTTGAATAGCATTCCTCCTGATTTTGCAGTTGTGGTTAGAGGACACTTTTGCCATGCAGGATGGACAAGGCCCAAAGCCCTTTGCAGCCAGCTTTAGTTGCTCCCCAGTTCTAAGCTCTAAGTTGCCTGAGTCACTTTTGGAACTTCTGGGGCAGGCATCAGTCCCCTAAATGGTTTCGGAAGTGCTTCTTCTATTGTTGATGCAGATCACAATGCACACTGACCTGCTGAATTCCACCCTTCAGCAGCTAATGGGAAGCTGCATGGAAATAGCTTTGGAGTTTTAATGTCAGGAGGTGGAGGAAGTGTCTAGGCAGTTGTCCTCGTTTTGGCTAGGGCAGAGTTAATTTTCCTCCTAGTAGCTGGTAGGGTGCTGTTTTGGGGATTTACTGGGCTGGCTGGCTGGGGTGGGGGGGGAACGCTGCTTGGGGAGGGGCTGGTCATCAGTCAGTGGGTGCTGAGCAATTGCACTGCGTATCACTTGTTTTGTACACATTACTATTATTATTAATAGTAATTATTTTTATCCTTTCTTTTCTGTCCTATCAAACTGTCCTATCTCAACCCACCAGCTATTACTTTTTTTCTGATTCTCTCCCCCACCCCAGTGGGATGGGGGGTGAGCAATCGGCTGTGTGGTGCTGAGGTGCCAGCTGGGTTAGACCACGACAGCAGTGCAAAGTACTTGGAGCAATGGGGAAAGGAGGCGCAGAAACTGCTGGGGTTTGGACTTGCCTTCCTAATGCCCAGCCTCACCTCATGTCCCCGTCTTGCTGCTGTCTAGCAGGCTATAGCCTTCCTGCAGGTCCTGCAGGAAGATGGCTGCACCATCTGGGTTGCATGGGGCCACCTAACCATGGTGTCACAGTTGCTACTGGTCAGCAGCAGCTCTCTTATACATGGGTTGGTAGAAACACCCCCGGAAGACTGCCAGGAAGAATCCACAACAGGAGGACACAAAGCTGGAGCAGCCAGTGACACTTCTGATAAAAATATTCAAAACTAAATAATGAATGGGGCTGACAGGAATAATCCACACCTGTCATGGTTTTGGCTGAGATAGAGTTAATTTTCTTCGTAGAGAATGACATAACACTGTGTTTGGGATTTTTGATGAAAATAGTGGTGATAACACACCAATGTCTTAATTGTCTCACAGCAGCGCTTACACTAAGCCAAGGACCTTTCTGCTTCTCATGCTGCCCTGCCAGCAAGGAGCCTTGGGGTGCACCAGGAGCTCAGGCGGGGGGACACAGACGAGACAGGGACCCAAACTGCCCAAAGGGAACCCATGCATGTGGCCTCATGCTCAGTAATAAAAGCTGGTGTAAAGCAGGAGGAGGGAGGGGGGCTTGGAGTGATAGCGTTTGTCTTCCCAAGAAAGCACCACACTGTGATGAGCCCTGCTTTCCTGGGGGTGGCTGAACACCTGCCTGCCAGTGGGCAGTAGAGAATGGATTCCATGTTTGGCTTTGGTTGTATACACAGCTTTTCCTTTGTTTAGTAAGCTGTCTGTATCTCAAGCCATGAGGCCTCACACTTTCACCTTTCTGATTCTCTTCCCCATCCCACCTGGAGAGAGTGAGTGAGTGGCTGGGTGGTGCTTAGCTGCCTGCCAGGGCTAAACCACAACAGCATCTTATCTCCCAGGCAGATGAGGCTCAACACAAATTCACAACCTTTCCTCCCTCCAAAGCCCACTGGGCACTGCTGTGTGCCTTTGCAGCTCTCCTGCCTTCTGTGTGCTGTACCACATACAGCTTCCCTGAGGCTGAGCTCCGTCATCGCTGGGTCAGTGTGTCTGTCCTGCCTGAAAGCCAGCACCAAGTTCAAATCCTGCAGCTGGGAGGTTAATCAGCAACTGCAGAGGGAGTACTAAGGAAAAAACACATGTCCTTTCCAATTAATTTTGCTCAAATCCACTGAAATGAGCAGAGGGCCGTAACACTCAATTATTCCCAGCAATCAAATTAAATTTATGCTTGTCATTAAAGAGTCACTGTTTGCCCTCAGCTGCCTCATCGGGAGCTCTGATCACCACTGTGTTATCACTGGGGTGTGTGTGTGTGAATGAATTCTTATGCATGCTTTATCCTCAGTCAATCTGTGGGGACTTCATTTTCCTGTTTTTTAATGCCATTCTTGTCATAGCATTTGGAAAATACCCCCCAGTCTGATGTACTGTAAAAATGACTTGGTGCATAATGTGATTTGTAGTCCAGTGGAGAAAAATCAAAACACTCCAGCTCACTTCCTTGTTTTAAATCCAACCCCAACAGCTGGACTAAGCAGGAAGGTCTGAGCAGACCATGATCTGGGGATGGCATGGCAGCAACCACCAGGAGCACAGAGGCAATTTGTTGTGTGATGCTGCACGTGCAATCAGCACTGTGATTTCAACACCTCATGGTTCTTGAGCTGGGCAGAATGTTTGGCTGAAACTTTTACAAATAAACTATAGAGCAGCAACACAAGCTGTTTTGTGGATTTGTCTTCATTTTTCCAAGTTCTTGGTCCTATTTAAAATATGATAATGAAGATGAGGTTGTGACGCTGAGGAGATGACTTCATGCAGTAGTGTCGTACCTTTGCCTCTTGTCTTTCTTCCTTTCCTGATGTTGGCAGCTTTTGACTAGCATCAGCCACATTAGATAGAGAAGTTAAGGTCCAGAATCTATTAAAATCCTGCCCACTTCATGAAAATTGGTATCTGGAAGAGAAGAGTGCACACCAGCTTTCCTCCAGTAAAGGTAACAGATCAAATAAACATTAATTAACACGTTGAATTACAGTGACAGCTGTAGCTAATTGTCCATTACCTTCTGTTTTCTAGCAGCCCTGTGAAATTCATCCACCAATTATGACAAATACTTTAAAAATTACAAAATGTCTGTTATTCATGAGAAACACTGATTAAGCGCCCAGCCAACAGACAGTGGGACAAAAGAGTTACAGATGGGAACTCAGTATCTGACAGGAGCTTCTGGAAAACACCTTCCCCTGCTGAAAGAGACAAGTGCTGTTTACCATCATCGCTGCCAGGATGGCAACAAGCTGCGGTAGCGAGT